ACTGCTACCTACTGGTTGCAGTTCCCGGCTGCACTAATCGCATGTTCTCAGTCTCACTGGATTGCACTGAGCCTCCTGTTACCACTATTGCTGAACAAGAGCCTGAGAGATTTTTCTTAGTTTTCTCAGGCTGACTGTTGGGCAGAATTCACGTGTGCTCAAAACCGTGTTGATTAATTTAAATTCAGATTTCAGATAGATGATATCAGATTATTGAAACATAAGGTTTTTTTAGGCCTTTTAATATTCACATTACACCCAGTGAACAAGAGTTGCCACCAGCTTGTTCAGAATACTGGGATTCAAGATGGTTCAGCTAAGGGCATGGTCGATCATACCACCACAGTGAAGCTGGAGGGTGATAGCCACCCTCCATACAAGCTAAATAAGGGAACATTTAATGTCCCTGTGTTAAGTGACAAACAAAACAGCAGAAAACCACTTTTCCTGGAAAAGTCCTTTCTGCAGTCAGTGCAGGTCCGTGCCCTGTGGTATATTTCCTAGAGCTTTGCCCAGTCTTGTTTTATGTCTCTTTGGGAAAGGGTTCCCTGTGGGAGCCTACTCCCTATGTAGTCTAGCAGTTGTTGCTGAAGATTCACACTGGCTGATTTTTGAACAAGTTGCAGCAGTAGTTGTTTGGAGACCTGACGGCAGGCAGCTCAGTCCTGGATCTGCCAAGAAATAGATTATCATTACCCTGTACGAAGCACTCTCTTATTTAGCTGCTTGCAAGTGTTCAGAGACTCTTAGGACCTGATCGGATTCAGTGGTGGTATAGGGTCAGGCCTGATTAACACCAGCATAATCAGAATCAGGCCCCTCATTTTCTCTGGAGAGACTTTTATCATGAACATTAACTAGATGATTTCTTAGAACTACACTTTCAAAACTTAATCAGTAACTTTAAAAAATAAAAATCTGATTATGTCAGCACATTGCTGTAATCAGGTCTTTTGAACAGCATCGAGGACAGTGTTAATTACCTAGGCTTGACTTTTTGTTTGTTTTGGTTTCTTAAGCTTGCCTCCAGAAACCAACAAACCACCAATCCAATAATGATACGCAACAAATAACGATTATTTTCAAATAGTGCCATGTGCGATACTGCCTTACTACCTTGGCTTGTCATTGTGCCTGGTTACTTAAACTTCCTTCCCCAAATTGGTGTACAGTGAAATTGAGAATGAGTCTTTTCTTTTCACAATGCAGTTACAGGAAACATGCACTGAATTACTCTGCAAGTAATATATTAAGTCTTCAAGCTGAAATAGGAAAACAAAATATGCTGTATGGCAGTCGATTGGACAGTTCTGTCACTCCCAGCTAAGCTTTCCAGATGCAGAGCCAGGAACAGAGAGAAAACGGGGTCAGGGGTCACACATGACATGTGACTCCTGTAAACTCCACCAAAGTAAATCTACTGAGTCTACAGCTAGAAAGTAGGGGAAAGGTCAAAGCAAAGAGCCCGGCAGTCATGTCTCAGCAGCCGCCAAATAGAAATGAGCCCAGGAGCAACAACAGCGGTCTCCGTACAGAGAGGGGGTGGTGCGGGATGATTTGGAAGTGAAGTCACTGGCTTGGGATTGTCAGCTCTGCAAGTACGTGCTCTACGTTCAGGGTGGTGCTGTCCTGAGAACAGGGTCAAACAAAAAGTCATGTTGCCCAGCCCAGCATCTGGGATACCTAAATATAACAAAAGACACGCTCTTCCTTCACAGGGCTGTGAGTAATTCATTGCCAGCAGCACTAATACTTGAGTAATAAGAGCGGAACAGGAGCGTCATTTTTCTACCAACAATACTTAAAAGCGGCTTTTTGTTTCCAAAGTCCTGTTTGCTGGGCCAGCTCCAGGTACTATCAGATTGCAGGAGTGTTATTTCTGATGCGGTGCAAGCACTAGCTGGGTAGTCTCACATAACCCAGTGGAACGTGCCAAAGCAATGATTTCCAGCCGTGGAGCTTCAGGCTTTTGTGACTGCAGTAAGATCCTTCTTTCCCCCACTGTGGAGGAACTTGGTCCTGGGCACTGGTGCACCGTTGTGCCATGCCTCTCATGCTGTGCCTCTCACCCTGTGCACATTCCATGGTATGAGATGATAAAAGAGAACCTGGAGTTTGGGCTCAGTGATCAGTGTGTATGATCATGCATTTGCAGCATGCCTGTCCGGGAAGAGACATAGTTCTCTTGTAGTGCAATAAATACCAGGTGGTCCCAAGACTCAGGGCTTTTGCTGGTTTCCAGTCAGGACTTTTTTTTTCTTTCTTCAGAAATGCTATTGGCTTATGGGGAATTTTCTTTTCCCCCTGCTTCTTAAGTAGTGGACCTTGGCCACAGCTATGCCTAGGGGTTGGACAGGGATGTCTTAATGCTCCTGCTTGTACTTGGAAAACTCAGAAATGCCTGGACAGAGAGCCTTGTTTTTCTAAGGGTCATACCAATTTCCAAATTTAGCATTGGGAAGGAATTTTTCCCTCAGATCAGACTGGCATGGACAGTAGGCTTTTGCCTTCCTCTGGCATGGGACCGTTCCTAGGCTCTTCTGAACATATATTATCCAAGTACTTCTCTATCATTGCAGGGGTAGGGCATCCGCCCCCCCAGCTTTTACCTTAGCACACTGTAGGGTGTTTTTAGTGTTTCAGATAGTGTGTCCAGTAGCTGAATGTGAGGTTTAAAGTGGGGAACTAGGGGTTGCTTGGGTAAATGATTGCCTGTGAACACTTTGGACTGGACCCAGGAGGCTCCTTCTACTTCTACTTTCCTGTGTTTCCAGTCATGGACAGAGTACAAACCACTCCTCAGCTGCAATTTTGAGCACATTAATAAACACTGATTGGTATATCTGAGAGCTTAGTGCAATGATTCTCAGTTAGGGTGCCAGGGCACACTGGCTTGTCACCAAATCTTTTGACTGGTGCTTCCAGGTGTGAGGAGATAAGCAGATAAGAGCAGGCCCAGGCTGGTCCCTGCCTGGCCATTTCCCTGCCCCCTCTGTTTGACCCCTCTGTAAGGTGGCAAGAACTGCAACAGATAAAATTGTTTTTCAAATTGGGATCCACTCCATTCACAGAAATTATGGAAGGGGTGCCTTGAATCCAGTGATGAGTGCCTTGAGTCTAGCGAGGTTGAGAAGAACTGACTTAGTGAAATTATTATACATGGCACTGGATCCACAGCTGCTTTCAATGGAGCTATGCTGATGTATGCCAGGCACAAATCATCCCCGTGACTCCAGTAGAACTATGCTGTTGTAAATGTGGCAGGCTTGCCAGTGGCAGCTCAGTTTGATGATTTGAGCCAGATGGCTCTAGCCAGTTGCTGAGAAAATTCCCCTTTCTTTTCAATCAGAAGGGGGGTAGGAGAGAGTCTTGCCCCGCCCTGACCCAGGGGCAAGGTGAAAAGGAGAACTTGAGGGGGAACCAACTCCTCAGGCTTTCCCATTGGTTCATTCCCAATCTGGGGGTTGAGCCCCAAGAAGGAATAAAAGCCCACATGCCAAGCACATGGGCGGTTTTGACGAGGGACAGCAAAGATGGGCTACAGAAGAGTTGGCAAGAGCTGACCAGTGAGGTGGAGCAGTTGCCCCAGAAGCAGCCCAAAGATACCTCCGGCAAGTGGGAGGCAGCAGGTGGCTGTGTCCCAGCCCTGCCGTGGGAAGTGCTGCTGCATTGATGCACAGACTGGTGCACAGAGGGTCCGGGAGCAGATGGGACCTCGGTAGCTGCACGAGGCAGCGTGGGTCCCCAACCCTGCACGAGGCAGGAACCCTCGGTGCACAGGGCTGGAGAGGGCCCAGGAGTGGACAGGACCTTGGCAGCTGCATGAGACAATGCTGGTCCCCAACCGTGCTTGAGGTAGGAGTCCTCAGTGCATGGATTGGTAGACAGGGCTGTAGAGCTGAAGGGACCACTGCGGCTGCACGAGGCAGCACAGGTCCCCATCCCTTTACGAGGCAGGTGCCTCCTTCGGTGCACAGGGCAGTGCACGGGGCTGAGAGCTGAGCAGAGCTGACAGGATGCTAGGCACAGGAGACTGGTAGAGAGGACATGGGAGGCATGTGCCCCCCCCGAGATTGGCCCCCAAAAGTGCTGGGTGGCCCACTGAGATACCCCAACTCATCACCACTCAGGATGGGGCCAGGTGCAGAGTGGATCCCCACCGGCCCAATTGTACAGCTGGGGACTGTGCTCTGCTTCGCTACCCAGCCCCGCCCTCCCTGACAGCGCTCTGGAGCCCGGAGCATCAGAGAACGCTCTGGCCAACCAGAGCACTGCCCCGCCTCCCTCCCCTGTGCAGAAATGGATATGGGGCTTTTGGACCGCCCCCAGGCCTGCCCACAAGTTGTGCCCCCCGCAGACTCAGGAGGTACCAGTCATCCATGATGCCAGGGCTCCATGAAGCAGCACAGGTCCACATCCCTGCACGAGGCAGACACCCCCTTCAGTGCACAGGGCAGCGCATGGGGCTGAGAGCGGGCTGACAGGCCCAGTGGCTGCACAAGGCAGTTCAGGCCTTCCTGCAGTGAGTGGCAACTGGATGGGTCGACCACTCTCATGAGGGAGGATGATCCACATCCAACCCAGAGATAAAGGCGGGCCTAGCCCTTCAAAGCTGCTGGGAGTCATGAGTTACTTGGGAAAGGGGAATCCCACAGGGGAAGAGGGGTCCTCCCCATTTTGGGTGATCAAAGGGAAGCCCCTGATGGGAGGGGAATGATTCGTCCCTGGGGTGGAGAGGATTCTAGGGCCCCCTGTTTGTTAAGAGGGGTTTCATGGTTACAGGCCTCCTCCTACTCGCGTGCCCTAGGAGAGGGTGTTGGTGTTCTTTTAGGTAACAGAATTGTTCCCCAGATGCCATTTCTTCTTTGGGCACAACTGCTGCGTAATTGTTGTGTTTGAGTTCCTTGTGTTGTTGGGATTCTTGTTGTAACCTTGTGTCCTTAATGTTGTATTAGGAGAGGGTTGTAAGCTGTTCTATTCAGTCTGCTAGTAGGCACTGCTAGCACAGCCTCAACTCTCTCTCTAAATTCATTGCATTGGTTATTTTTACGTATCTGCATCTCATTTGATGTAATTTCACTCTGTATGTTCAGTTATTGTCTTATCACTGCCAGATTTTCATTTGTTGATTTATTGCCTAACCCGTGTTTTATGATGGAGTGTTCCCTGCCTACTGCCTGGAGAGCTGTTGAGGGGCTGCAGCACACTGACTGGAAGGCCACAGGAGATCAAGGCCAGTGCCTACTAAGTTCAGGATTAATAAGAGCTATTGTTTTTATGAACCTATATTTTGTAAATAATTATGTATATATACGCATACACATATACGTATTTGTGTCTATATATATATAGGGATGTGTGTAATTTTGTACAATTAAACCTTCAAATGGTCAAGTATCACTGGGAGTCCTTGGACTCCGCTCTGCAGGGAAAGGAGGTGAGCTAGCTTGCAGCTAGGCAGTCACTCTCCTGGAGCATACTCACCCCCTGACATCCCTTCAATTGGAGAGCGGGTACTGGCCACATACCACCCGGGTTACATAAGCTTTACAAGGATCTGGCCAGTTGATGGAGCAGAGGCAGCATGCATTAATGGATTGTGCATGGGACTAAGCACTACAGGGACCTACCTGCATTAGTCACTGTCACTGACCCTTCACTGACCTCAAGCTTTTGAGCATGGGCCCTTCAAGGTAGATACCCAAATCAGCACTTAGTCAGTGAGAATTACAGGTTATTTTTCCAGGTGCCCAAAATCTGAGGTTCAATCCCTAACTAGGCATGAAGATTTGAAAAGTTTAGACTCTCCCCATCCGTTCAGTAGGAAAAATGTTTCTCATTTCTACTGCATAGGGCTGCTCTCTGTTCTGGGGCTTCACTAGTTAATGTTTTTACAATGTGGTAAAGATATGTGAGCCAACTGTCAGTCTCAGTTCCTTCTCTTCAGTGCAGGGGAGGTCAAGAGGATTGTGCTGGTGTAGTTAGCTTGTGAAGTGCCATATAAATGACGAGGTTATCATCATCACAGTTTCCTGGAAAGGCTGAGAACCACGATACTAGAAAGGGGAAGGAAAGAAGTATTCAATAATAAAATGTACAGTGACCAGCCCCCTACATTACAAAGAAATAGTATTAACAGCAAGAATGTGGGATCCTCAGTAAAATGTGATACAGCCTCCATAGTTTGTTCTACAGTGTGGCTTTGTGCTAGATGGACGTTGGTTTGATTCTACAGGTACAACAATCAAATATACTGGGACCAGGCTGGAGATTTCTGGATGTGCCCAGTCCCTCCATGCTATTTGTTGCACGATATATTTTTAATGACTGCTTGGAGCCAAAAGAAAAGTGCAATAATTTGAAAGAGTTCCCAATACTGAAATAAGCAGTTTTCCACCAGATGACTTATTCCCATTCAAGAACTGTTACTTGGGCTGTCTGAGCTGCAGAATTGTTTTTCTTTCTTGAGTTGGTTTGGTTTTCTTCCAATCAAATCTATAAGAAAACCCAACATATACCACATCACAATGGCCACTTCTTTCCCTAGCACTTTGTGTTTCATCCTAACAAATATAACTTTGGATGGAGAAGAAAAAAATAACATTAGAAATGGATCAAATGAAGACACCCAGATCCAAAGTCTATGAGAAAGTTTGACATTGAAGCCAAACTGTAGGGCTTTGACCCATTTCTAATTGATACCCAGTGTGACAGGAGCTGGAAATTCCATATTTACCAGCACATAGCACAGGCCCTGGAAGCAGAAGAGGGAATGTCTCATTGCTCGCCATCCACCCCCCACCTCTTTGGCTGAGTAAAGCCAAGTTGATGGGCACTGAAGAGAGTCATGGTGGGCTGCCTGCAAGCTACAAGGACATGTGTCTGGGAGCAGCTTTAAAGCTTCAGCAGGTTCCAGAGCACTTCGTTGGCATTAAAATGTAACCTGCACAATTATGTTAATTCTGCATTGATTTAAACTGACAAAGTCAAGTAAAATTCTTACCTGAGATGACGTTGCCACCTTCCTGCCCCAAATCCTATTGGTGTTTTTTCTCTTTTGTGTGGCTCAGGCTCATAGCTCTCTCCCTCAATGCCCTGTGTGCCTCTATTCTTCCTTCATCACATTTCTCCTTCAGCGTGGACTTGCCCGACTTCTCCCCTTTGTTCTATTCTTCAACTCTCAGCTTTTTGCCTCATTTAACACCACCTGCTCATTTGGATCAGCCTCTCACCGTGCTCTCTATTGCTGTTTGTTATGTGTGTGTGTAACAGTATCTAGAACTGTGGGGTCCTAATCCACGATTAAGGATCCTAGGCACTCCAGTAATACAAACAACACTAAATAGTGCTGCAAAACTACCTATGTCGGAGCAGGTCTCTCTGTCTGTCACTGTACAGTGGGATTTTGCCCTACTACAGCTGCACATATGCAGATCTCTAGCATGGTGCTGATATGCTGTATATGTTAGAAGCATGCACTGAGTAAGCTGCATCTGTGTAGCTTACTGGTGCAAATGTGATCATACTTTGCTTTTTTGAGAAGCCTTACCTTTAAGAGGAGCCCCAACTCTTGCAAGAGTCAGCTGGAACCAGTTATTGCATTATACAGAGGCTCATATTACGTAATCCTAAAAAAACAGGGCTTGGAAGAGACCTCAAGAAGTCATTTTGTCCAGCACCCTGCTTAAGGCAGCACCATCCCTGTCTAAACCAGCCCAGTCAAGTTTGTGTCCAACCTGCTCTGAAAAAACTTCAAGTGGTAGAATTCTTGTCTGCCACACAGGAGACCTGGGTTTGATTCCTGGACATGCATATAACTATAGCCATTGAGGCACTGAAAGTCTGGACTCGGTCTGGCCTTTGGATTCTATCTCAGTTGCCTAAAAGTGGGATAGAAGGTCTGGGCAGCCTCCTCCATACTCCTGCCTAGGCATGTGTGTCAAAGGTCCTGGTGACCTCTCATGCATACACTATGATCCAAAAGGATTGACACTTGCCTACTGTAGATAATATGTTTTGATGCTGGGAACTGAACTTCTCACAAAGTACTTTTTTCCCTTTCCAGGATCATGGTTCTCAGCTTTTGGGGCAAGTTTGGCATTCATAGATACACTAGCACAATCCTATTGACTTCAGTGGCTCTAAAGCAGGGTACTGAGAAGACAGAATTTCTTCCCACTATACGACCAAAATTTCCCTAGCTGTAACTATGAACTGTTCTTGTCCTCTGTGGGCAGAGAGAATAGTCCATCCCCATGCTTGTTATAGCAATCCTTTTTGTATTTGATGACTGCTACCAATTTATACCGCTTGGTCTTCTCTTCTCCAGGCAAAATTATCCCAGTTCTTCCAACATTTCTTCATATGGGATGTTTTCTAGACCTCCAGGGGTTTTTTGTCATTCTCTGTTTTTCCTGTGTCTGTTGTGCCCAAAACTGGACCTGCTACTCAAGGTGAGGCATTTCCATTGCTGAAAAACATGGAAACATCACTTCCTGCTACTTGCACACAGCATTGTTGTCAGTACATCCCAGTATGATTTTGACTTGTTTTGCAACAAGAGAACACTGTTGGCTCATATTCAGCTTATGACCTCCAGGATCCTTTTCTGGGAAACCTACCCAGTCATTGCCCAGTTTGTGTTTGTGCTCTTGATTGTTCTGTCCTAAGTGCAGGACTTCACACTTATTTGTATTGAACTTTGTCCGGTTTATTTCAGACCATCATTTCTCCAATTTATGAAAGTCATTTTGAATCCTAATCCTGTCCTCCACAGTGTCTGCTACTCCACCCAGCTTGGCGTCTTCCAAAAATTTACAGAATATATATTTAATTGCATTCTCCAAGTCATTGATAAACAGTAATGGAAGCAGGACAAACCCCTGAGGAAACTCACTTGATACTTCCTCTCATTTGGACCTGGAGCCACAAAGAACTACTCTTTGAGCACAATATTCTAAGTAGTTATGCACTCACTTATAATAGTTTGATCTGAAGTTCAACCTAAGGGGTCCAGCAGGCCAGAGGAGTATCAAAGGGGCTGATCCAATGCAGGATCAGTCTGCCAGTGTGATCAGGCATACTAGCCTGGCCCCATGCCCCAGATAGGCCACAGGACAGCCCTGCGCTCCAGTATAATCCAGGGCATATGGCTCCCCACAAGTCTGGAAATTTGGCAGTGAGGAAACAGTGTCAGTGTTAATTGCCACAGCTCTGGGAGCCACAGCAATTAACTCTGCCACTGCTCCCACACCACCCTATTTCCAGAGCTCGGGTGAGCCCTGTATACCAAACAACATGGCTTTGTGGGTCAGATTCAGCCTGCAGGCTGTAGGTTGAGCACCACCAATCTAGGCTCCATGCCCTTAGCGTACTCATGAGAATAGCAACTTTTTTAGTGCTGTCTCCCATGACAAAGTCAAGGTGTGTCACATTTGCTACTTTCTACCAATCCACAAAACTCATCATTGTCTCGGAGAAAGAACCAGTTTGGCTAAGCACAAGTTGCTATTGAGAAATCCATGCAAGCTGGTCTTTATCTCCTGATCTCCATTGCTATGTTATCTGTTAGGTGTTTGGAAACGAGTTCCTTAATTCAGCGGTGTCAAACTCATTTGAGATGCTGGCCTGGATCTGGACTGTGGGGCTTCTCACAGCTGCCAACTGAGAATTACAAACAGGACAAGTCTGCAGCAGGTCATGTAGCAGCAGCATTAAACCTCTACATTCTGGCAGCAGCTAAGAGAAGCCCTGCAGCAGGTCATTTGGATGATTAAAAGCCTGAGGGCTGGATGATCTACCTCCAAGAGCCAAATTTGGCCCGTGGGTTGTATGTTTGACAGTCCTGTCTTAATGGTATGCACTGGAATCTTTCAGAATATGTTCCAGAATGCTGATCAGTTAGAACTTGAACACTGCAGGACGCTGAACAATGCAATTGTGATTACTGAACAATGTAAGGCTCCAGGATAGCAATTTCAAAGGTGTTACAAGGAATACGTTAAAAAGGATACAGGAAGTAAAAGCCAAGAGAAGGGCCAGAAATGTTTAACTCAACTGAACAGCAACATTGGGAAAGTGCAGAAAAGGCTGGTTCTTGAAACCCCTTTTCTGTTGAGTTAATGTTACCCAGTGCTTTTGAGGTAGAACTCAAATGCTGAATGAACATTGTGTTTGGCTGAGTGATTACTGAACACAATTCTTACACTTCATATCAAAGAAGGTGTCTCTGTGTTCTCTAATGCCATGTTGGGCCTTTGTTTATCTTGGGACTCAGAGAAAAGTATATCACCTACTGAAATATTATCACAAACACTGCTTTCTTACATCACTATTGCCTCTTCCCTTGTGCTCATTTTCTAACCAGTTTTCCCTCTTGACCACCACTTTTCTCCTCTTCACGCCCTCCCAGACTTATTCCTTCTTTACCACAGTGCTGTATTTGTGGACCAGACACCCAACTGATATATGCAAGTTCTCCCTTCCCTCCTTTCCTTCTCTTAAAACCCCCACACACTTCTGAAAACCCAGCTCCCAGATGACTGTGTTTATATTACATGTGCTTACATCTCTAATGAGAAGCTTCTTTGGATCATGAGCAGGAGGTACAATACAAGTACTACAGACACAGATGCTATGTTGCCATAACACTGTCTGTAGAAAATTGTCCAAATATAAATACAACCAAAGAAAAATCTGCACAAAACCAGGAAAAGAACTTCATTTAGGGAGGCTGCAAAGTCATGCCCCCAGAAATTAAGAACCATGCATCGCATAACACATAGTATTTGTTTTGCAGGAGCCCATTCAGTGCTAAATATTCATTATTAATGAAGATCTCTTTGATATTTTGTTTCATTTTCACTGTGCAGAGGGTGCTCCCCAGCTTTCATTTCTGTATCCTGTTCAAAACCTGCTAGGAAGACAGAATTATTGATTTCCTCCTGGGCTTTTCCATGGCCATAATCACGGCCAGGCTGCCAACACTTTTTTTAGATTACCCATTGGAAAATCCAAACAAAATATTTTGTTTCAGGTCAGCTCACAACAGTCTGAAGGGTTTTGTTTGCCTGCCAAATTAGACTGCAGTGCTTTGGTTTTGGTTGGTTCCACATTAACTTGTGTCCCTCTGAACTGTGGCCCTGTAGTTCAAGACTTTCATTCTTCCCTACAGGATAGGTAACCCACCTCAAGTATCGCTCTCCCAAGACTAGTCAAATAGTAGCAGCACACTTGGACAAAGTAGGTAACCAAGGAAAGAAAAATAGCTCTCCTCAAAAGGCTGGTGAATAAGTAACAGCTCACAGGGCATGGGTCCTCATTCACCTGGCAAGGCGTATCAGAAATCACCTACCAAAGGAGGCTGCATTTTATGAAAGCAGGACTCTCTTACCAGCCATTTGAGAAAGTGAAGGGACCTGAAGCAGAAACCAAGGCCATGCAGATGGTAGCAGGGGATCCTGGACTCCTCAGGGTATCCTTTACTTGCAAGAGCATTCTAGAGCAGTGAAGTAGCTGAGGCAGAAAAGGATGTGTAAGAGCTTTATCTGGGTAGGTATGTCTACTGTGCTCTCTAAGATCAACAACAATCGTTTTAGACTCCATTTTGGAAAGTCTAAGCTTGAGGTCCCATTTTCTTGAGCAGTAAGAGAGACTTTGTGATCACAAAAGATGCGAGAGGCCAAAGAAACAGCCAGTTCCACAACCCGCCCAAACCAAGGGAAGCTTAAAAGCCCAGAGGTTCAGGGCCCAAGCACAGCAGGCCGGTGGGAGCTCAGCCAGGCTTGACAAGAATAAAAACAAATGTTGAAATATCAGAATTTCCCAGAAGATGACAATTCCAGTTTGAGAGGTTTTATTAACAAATAATGACACCCAGTCAATGCATTTCCATGTGGTGAATATACTGTAGTAGTGCCAAGAAATAATCACATGCAAAATCTCCTCTGTGAAACACAACCATTTCTTACCTCTCAGGTTTGTAATTAAGCTGGCTCTCCCTCTTTTGGAATTATGCTGTCTTTTTCCCCAACAGTTTTTATGCCAAGTCATTAGACCATCACCATCATTTGGTGCTACAAGCAGCACATCTGCTGGATTACATTTCTGGTTTGCCATTTTACAAGAGAGATGTTGGCAGATGAAAGAAAGTACATTCACGGCACTTTAGAATGCATCACCCCTGGAAACAAAGAGCATTTTAAAGAGTGACTAGCTGTTTTGTAGTGAGGCAGAGAAGAAAGTATGTTTTTATGATTTATTTTTTTTAAAATCAGTATAGCCAAACCTACCAGATCTAAACCCACCGAGCATGATTTGACAGTATCACCAGATCTTCACATCACCACACTGAACTCTGTTCCAAGGCAGCTGCATTTGCGTCACTTCCATCTCAGAGTGTGTGCACGTAAGTGTGCGCCTCTACTCTTCCACTAAACAGTCTAGGGCTGAGGCAAGAGGAGTTCAGGTCAAGACAGTTTGCAAAA